GCGCTGGGCGGCGCTGGGCGGCGCTGGGCCGCCTTTCTTTCCTTCATGGGTGATGGATTCGCTTCTGGTGTGCTTACGGTGAATGGCCCCAGACCTCTGCCCCTCAGCGTAGGGGTACAAGCCCCGTCACATCCCCTTCCTATAAGGCCTCGAGCAAACTCCTCACCCCAACCCCGTCTTCCTCCCTCCCTCCCTCGGCACCTCAGTCCCCTCTCTTTCCCATGTTTCCCCCTCGCCTGGTGCCCGGGGAAAAGGGGGCGGGAGGCGGGGGGTGTTCTCCATTACACCAGCTGCCGCGGATTTTCGCTCAGTCGATCGCTTTCGATTTCGAGCCCGGTCTTCTTGCTCATACAAGGCTTATGCAGCAGGCAGCTCTGTTGTCTTACTGCTGCTGTCCTTTTCTCTGAGAGGATTGAGATAAAACCTCGGCCACTGGAGTTTGCAATTATTTTTTGATCACGACAACTTTCGTCTTAATTAGTTTGATCAAAATATTTTAATATGCAGAAAGAAAATTTTCGTAACAAGGAAGAAATAAGAGGCGGACTGGAATCATTGGGAATCATGATTACGATTACGCATCAAAAGGGAGTGGCCACCTCTCGTCCTAAATAAATTCCTATTAGGGCCGCGTAGCACTCAGCTGGCATCAGCTGGGATCAGCTGACATTCAAAGGACCTTGAAAGTTCCTCTTCCCCTTTGACAGATGCACTGGCTCACCTGCTCACTCCACTCCCCACCAAACATCGATTTTCACATGAAAAAAAGAGAACGAACAACCGGGAGGAAAAAAAAACGTTCGATCATATTTTTCCCTCGAGCCGCACAGGCGAACAACCGAAGTGCTCGCAAATTCTCGAGCCCGCCGTTCCCTTCTCCCCTTTTTTCGCAGCAAAGGCGGTCATTTCCTACCCTCCCCCCCGTTCCTCTTCCTCCAACCTTTCGTGGTGCCCTTAAACGGGCTTCTGTTTCGGAGGTGGAGGTGGAGGGGGTCTCTGGGAGATTAGGGTGGTGGCGGCGCGTAGCGGGCAGAGATGACGGGACGCGCAAAGTGTGCGACGGGGCCGCCTTTTTGCAACGAATACTGCTGCACCGAGCGGTGGCCTGCCTGCCTGGCGTTGTCGCTCAGAGAGAAAAATAAGAATGATGAAGAAAGAAAAAAAGATAGAGGATGGCGAAGTAGAGAGGAGAAAAACTGCGGAGAGGCTTGTAGAGGATCAGTCATAAATTGCGTAAAGCAGGACGGGCAAGGCAGCGATACGGCGGGGGGAATGATACGATGAGCGCGAAAAGGAAGAATGAGAATGGGGACAGGGTAAGAGCAGCCGACCAGCAAGTGAGTACTTTTCTTTAAAATTCGACCATGATTTTGATACTGTGAGACGTAGAGTATACAAAAATATTTTCTGGTAGTTTTCTGTTAACTTTTTCTATTACAGGGGAAAGATGGAATAATAGCTGGAACGACTTGCCGGTTTCCCACAGTCAACTCCTGGCATATTTCACTTTCCGCATCACGGCCTCACCTGCAACAGAAAAGGAAAGAGCGTATAAGTAA